TAACTGTTTTTAAATAAATGAATATTTGTTTTTTTTTCTTATTTCTTAGCGTTTTCAAAGATGAATTTTAAAAATAATATTTTACAACAATACCTGTAATTTTTTCAAAATTTTATTCAGCTAAATACAATATGTTTTTTATATTTAAATTTATTTTATATTTATTTCTGTTATTAATTTAATTGTCATTCATAACATTTTAAATATTTATCTTTAACTATTCTCAAATAAATGAATTTTGTTTTTCGTTCTCATAGATTTTTTCAAATTTCTCGTTAAGGAACATTAAAATTTTTATATAGTAATGTGGATATCTGTAAAATATATTTCTCAGTTTTTTTAATAATATATTTAAATATTAGTACCTTTTTGAATAATTAAACTTATTCTTTAATGAAATTATTCATGTAATTTTAATTGAACTATTATAATATTATATTTCAATATTTTTTACATTGTTCATCAAATTAGTACAATAATTTATTATTCAGGTGTCTATTTTATTTGTAAATTAGAATTTATTACTATTTTTATTTAAAACCCATTTAAAAGTAATTGAAAATATAATAACAGGGATGCCAACTTGCTCCACTTTGTAAAATAGTATTTTCGAGTGGTAGCAAAATTTGAGTTACTTTTAGTTTAGTATTTTTCATTTTAAGTAATGTTTTCACCACTAAATATCAAAAATTATAAGTATCATATTAAACGCAACCTTAAATCATCTATCTACTGGTTACTCTATTAAAAAGTAGGCGTAACTAACTTTCTTTAACGAATTTTACTATATAATTTCCTACCACTTTATTAAAACTATTCCAGAAAGCGGAGCAGTTGGCATCCCTGTAATAATGAAAATTTCGAATTTTATAAAATTTAAATTCAATTGTGAAATAGTATCTAAATTTTTTAATATTGATTTTGCTGACTATATTAAAATATTTAATTAATATTAAAGTGAGTAATAATAAATTAACCGATTGATCGTTTTCGAAAAATAATAACTAAGACAATATATATAAAAAAAACATCAATAATATTACCATAAAAATATGTGTTATTTACATAAAAAGTNAATATCCTAAAATAATCATCTATCTACTGGTTACTCTATTAAAAAGTAGGCGTAACTATCTTTCTTTAACGAATTTTACTATATAATTTCCTACCACTTTATTAAAACTATTCCAGAAAGCGGAGCAGTTGGCCAGTTGGCATCCCTGTAATAATAAAAATTTCGAATTTTATAAAATTTAAATAAAATTGTGAAATAGTATCTAAATTTTTTTAATAATGATTATTATTAAAAAAATTTGATTGATTTCTTGATTATATTAAAATATTTAATTAATATTAAAGTGAGTAATAATAAATTAACCGATTGATCGTTTTCGAAAAATAATAACTAAGACAATATATATAAAAAAAACATCAATAATATTACCATAAAAATATGTGTTATTTACATAAAAAGTACAAGGTAAAATCATCTACTTTTCATTCAAAAATATACAGACGGTTAAGACAAATACAAAATAATTTCAACAGCATGGTTGTGTTTTGAAAGATGAAAAAAAATTGTTTTAGGGTCTTGCAGAAAGCTTTTATTTGAAAATTATATGATTTATAGACATACATTTTGATTGAAGATAAAAAATAAAAATTTAGGAATAAAAATGTGCAGATAGATTTACTGCGTTGAACATAATATGGAAACAAAATAATAAGACAGTAAATTAAAACAAAATTTATCTGTAATTATTTAGTTATTTTAATATCTTTTATTTGATGGTATCCTTTTTTTTCTAAAGATTAACACACATTATCGTTAAACGAAAAACTTCAAGCAACCAGAATTTTTATGAAAACACAAACAGAATTATGATCAGAATTTCCTGCTATAACCGATTTTTTTTATTAACTTTTTAAATTGCATATGAAAATGCGTATATTTTAATATTTTTTTCAGAAACGTATACGCATATTATTGAATTGTAAAAAAAAAAAGTTATGATTAGGCATCCTGATTCTAAAAAAAAAAATATTGGTTAAAAAATATCAGAGAAATTCTGAGGCGATCAATATATTTTTATGAGTTGAGGAAGGACAAGTCACGAAAACTACTGTGCACTTTATGACTCGATGTCTTTTAAAAATGACAGGCTCGTTAATAGCTCTTTTAAATGACTCTTTATGCAATGCTTGATAATAGAAAAGGTAATAAATAAATATATAGGAGAAAGCATTACGTTATTAGAAAGAGAAAAAAAAGAAAGAAACGAAAGTATTCGAAGATTACAAGCTGATACAGTTTGGGAAAATTTTATTATAATTAATATCATCCGAAATAAATAAATATGATGCTCATAAATGATAATTGAAGCAATATTTATTAAGATATACTCTAAAGCAGTGATTCTCAAACTTTTTTGAGGGGCGGCACATTTTAAACGATTTCGAAATCTGACGGAACACAATGAAAAAAATTAGTTTCAAAGTTGTTTACTTACCTATAATACACTGTGTCATACCTGTCAACTCTTCCGGATTTTCCTGAAGATTTTATTTTCATATTTAAAGTGGTAGTAAATTTATACTATTTTTTTTCTTTTATGAACTTAATTTTTAAATGATTTTGATCACCACTATTCTTACAAAAACTAAGCACTTATATTAATATGCGTTACTATCATTGATGTCAACTTAAGTTTTCTCAAATGCAACGTATTTGTTTGCTTAAAATTGAAGTTTTAATTCCATTTTAATACTTCTGGGAAAAATGATAATGGAAGGGATTAAAAGTTGGCAGGTATGCTGTGTTAAATAGATTGTGATAATAATTTTGAATGTAAAATAAAAAAATATGTGCTACAAAAGCACATTATCCTTTGTCAATTTGTTTTTGTAACTATTAATTGCAAAGCTTACTTTAATGATTAACTTTTATTTCCGTTTAAAAGTTAATATTTAGCTTGCTTAAATCGTGGAAAAATTATAAAATGTATGTCTATATATACAATATTTTATATATATATACACAATTTCTTTAATTTAAACTTTAATCGTAATAAAAAAAAACATTATTATTTTTATTGTGTCATTTCTAATACTTGGCGGCACATTTTGAGAATTTAGCGGCACACAAAAGTGCCGCGGCACAATGGTTGAGAATCACTGCTCTAAAGGGCTAAGCCCCTGTTCACTGTCATATGCTACCACTTTCTAAACTTCTGTGTAGATCACTGAAATTTCAAAAAAAAATTTTTACGTAACCCGCTTAACACGTTCACGCCGGGAAAAGTGAAAATACTGGTACGGGAAAAGAGAAAATACTAGTAGAACTATTTCAATACTAGATAATATTCGGGAGGAGTTAATCTATTCTCAACAATAACAATTCACTGTAAGGAATTGCATACCTGCCAACTTTTAATCCCTTCCATTATCATTTTTCCTAGTGGTATTAAAATGGAATTAAAACTTCAATTTTAAGCAAACAAATACGTTGTATTTGAGAAAACTTAAGTTGACAACCATGATAGTAACGCATATTAATATCTGCGCTTAATTTTTGTAAGAATAGTGGTGACCAATATCATTTAAAAATTAAGATTATAAAAGAAAAAATAGTATCTAGCTACTACCATTTTAAATATGAAAATAAAATCTTCCGGAAAATCCGGAAGAGTTGGCAGGTATGGAATTGTTATTGTTGAGAATAGATTTATCACGGCGAAGATTTATCACGTTGAGAATAGATTTATCATGTATTTATCACGGCGAAGAACCAATTCAGTATAAAATTTGCATCCGTTAAAAACAATTGGTAGTTATGGATTTTTATTATTTCCTGAAAAAAACTAAAAAATAAAATTTATTGTTACCAGTTTTTACTCCGGTGCGCTGACAAGATGAGACAATCTAGCGTGACCCACTGGTGGGTCACCCCGGAGTGAACGTGTTAAATTTTGTTATCAAGAATATCCTAAAATTTAAACTTCTTCGCCAACACGGAACCCCATATTCGGCAAAATAATATATTTTGGAACTATTAGAAAAGATCCCTTACGTAAAAAGTGGTATCACATTTGTTATTAAATTAACTAAATATTTCATGCCTTTAGTTATCTAACTGGTTTAAAAGTAAAACGACGGCGATGTTTCAAAATCAAATGCAGATTTAGGTACTTTTGAAATATTTTAGTAAATAGGAATGTCTTGCTCATTAAAAAACTATTGTTGACATTAGAACTTTTTTTTATCTCGAAAAAGAGACATGCTACAAATGTGGAGCATTGGCGTTTAAACGGTTAACGCTTTTTTTTTTCTTCTTATCGATTATACAGATTAGCAAATATGCATCTCTTTTCTGCTTCGATTGAATATCATTGCGCAATCACAGACCGGGCAGTAATTAATTACCGCTTACGCAGAGCCATAAATGCCACATTTTATAGAAATAATAACTGCTTCTGTGAAAAAAAGGGCGAAATTTTTTGCAGTGATAGATATTTTCGGTTATGAGTAACTCTTTTTACTTTTAAGAAACTGAATGAATTTAGATCAATCTGAAAATATTTTTAGCAATAATATGTTAGGGGGGACATGAAGCTTAAATTTTGAAAAAATGGTAATAATGAAACATTTAAGTTACTATTATTTATCTTTTCTGAAAATTGAAGCACCAAAACCTAGTTTTAAAACCATAAATAGGTTTAATAGAATAGTAAGGGGTTCAAAATTTCTGTAATGATGTAGAATCTATTCCAAGAAGCTCTCAAATATTTATTGCCGGGGTAAACTTTATAACCTAGAATTATTAAATAGCTTTTATTCATACTAGCTGGGTTATTTTAACCATGTTTGGATTCGAACTTAACCATGTTTTTTAAATAGTTTTCTTTTCGTTTTAGTTTTTTTTTCTTCTTTCCCTTATCATTCCTGTCATGTTGTTCTCTAATTATTTTTTTAATAGATTAAAGAGTTCTATTTTATTTTAGGTCCGAAGCAAAATGACTTCACTAAAGTAAAGTCACCATCATTTACATTTTCTGGAAAGTAAGTTTCATTATAAAGTAAGTTTAAGTATTTTAATCATTAACTTTAACAACTTATTTTATGAGGGCATTAACCATTTAAGAATAGGAAATAGCATACTGATAGTCAGTTTTTTTAGTGTCGTCTAGCTGTTAACTTTTAGTTTTTTTTTTTATTTTTAGAATACAGTTTTTTTAGTGACATCTAGCTTTTAACTTTCAGGGTTTTTTTTTGCAGAAGACTTTTTGCATTGGTAATTTATTTAATTTTCAGTAGTTTATTTTTCATCAGTTTAATGAAGTTGATTTAAAAGGAGTTTCACTATCAATTACTATTTAAAAATATATCGTTTATTACGGAATCACTAATTTTATCATAAATTGTTAGTCAAAAGCTAATTGTTAGTGTAGCTTTTCAAAAAGACAAGTAAAATTATAAACAGGAGGAGAACATTATAGACATTTAAGTGCGGAAACACAAAATAATAATAATAATTAAAACAGGATATTTAATGTGCACACTATATGACTTCTTATTTGAAAAGGATTCAAATATATGTATAAAAGGCAGTCATTGCAGAACATCTTACGCATAAAATGCATTATCATGCTAGGACATTTTTGAGCAGAGTTCGTGCAAGACTTAAAATTTTTTAATTATGACCGTACGATCACGGAAACGATAGGAAAAATTTAATTTTTTAGGATAGTTTCTTAACTTAAAGATACTTGGTAGAGTCCTGTTCGTTCAAATGGACATTTATTGGTTCCGCTTTCGGGCCTATTCCATTTAGACGTTGTAGTGAAAGCCATTAAATTAAATAGATTCTAAATGTAGTATGAAAAGGAACACTTTGCCTTTGTAATAGAAGGCAGTCGGTATATAGATGAGTGTTAAATCAAATAGATATTTATTAAGGACATATGTGGGTAACTATTGTATAAGTGAAGTTAATTAAATTTTTCGTTACCTAGAAAGAGTTGACGGGGTAAAATTCCTCAAGTGGACATCTGGGCCCGCCTGTGGCCCTCGGATTCATCTCGGAGTGTTAACGTTGTAGTGAGAGTCATTTTTATTAAATGGAAGTCAATGTAATGAGAGTCGTTTAAAACTTTCAACCATTTTAAAGAGATTGAGATAAAAAAAATTCATTTTTTTCGACTATAGTGTAAACCACAAAAACTGTAAGAATTGTTATATCTTAGCTTTTCAATTTTTAATCTAATAGTTTAAAGTATAAAAGGTAAGATCGCTTCATTTTAGAACGATGACCACAATCTCTTTGACTAAAATTAGGAGTTAACTTTTCCTATATTGAAAAATGTTAAACAATATTTAGCGAACTCCCAAACAAATTCGGAAAACAGTNAAAAAAAAAAAAAAAAAAAAAAAAAAAAAAAAAAAAAAAAAAAAAAAAAAAAACACGAGATAAAAAAATATACTGATAATCTCTGTTGCATCCGAGTTTTTTCGGGATAATAATTAATTTCCACATATGAATGGAATCCCGGATTAATTCCACCGAATTAAAATATTCCACCCGGAATGACACGGGATCCAAAATCTGTTATGCTAAAACAGTTTTTCTGTCTAACCTCTAAAAAATAAATCTCTCTACTGTTTTAGGCACGAAGACAAAATAAAATTCAAGACACCAGGACCAGGCAGTTACAACGTATCTAGTGTTACACGGACAGGAAAGGACGCACACCACGGCAAAACGATCTCTGGTCGCCCTAAAGATCCCCAATTATTCCAGACACCTTCCCCTGGAGAATATACTCCTGAAAAATGTGAAAAGACTGTGCATGGCAAATCACCTTCTTACACATTTGGATCAAAAGGAAAGGACGCCAAACCAGACAATATACCTGGTAAGATTATAAAAAAAAAGTTATAAATAATTTAGTAAATGAGAGTACAAATAACATATTTATAAATTTAAAAAAGCATTTTAGAAAAAAAAATCTTTCTGTTAAGATTCTTAAAAGCGTATCCAGCAGGCTACTACAGGCTTACTGATGACACTTTAGTTCCCCCTGCCCTGCAGTTTAACACGTTCACGCCGGGAAAAGTGAAAATACTGGTTGAAGAACTCTTTCAATATTAGATAATATTCGGGAGGAGTTAATCTATTCTCAACAATAACAATTCATTGTATGGAAATTTACCACGGCGAAGAAGCAATTCAATATGAAAATTGCATCCGTTAGAAACAATTGGTAGTTATGTATATTTATTATTCCCAGAAAAAAACTAAAAAATTAAATTTATTGTTACCAGTTTTTACTCCGGTGCGCTGCCAAGATGAGACAATCTAGCGTGAACGTGTTAAATCAACAGTACAGATGGTAATGTAAAACACTGCGGAGTGGCAATTATTTCAGTTAACGAAAAAGGCCGTAGAATGGCTATTATTTCTGATGGTAACCAGAAACGCCGTGCAGTAACTATTATTTCAGATGTTAACGAAAAACTCTTTGATATGGTAACGAAATATCAGGGATGAGATTCTTCCGCGGATTCGCGGATTTTCGCTTTTTCTCAGATTTTTCCATTTTTCCCGCTAATTTCCGCTGAATTTTTTTTTTTTNCTGGTAGAAGAACTCTTTCAATATTAGATAATATTCGGGAGGAGTTAATCTGTTCTCAACAATAACAATTCACTGTAAGGAAATTTAACACGGCGAAGAAGCAATTCAATATGAAAATTGCATCCGTTAAAAACAATTGGTAGTTATGTATATTTATTATTCCCAGAAAAAAACTAAAAAATGAAATTTATTGTTACCAGTTTTTACTCCGGTGCGCTGCCCCGATGAGACAATCTAGCGTGACCCACCGGTGGGTCACCCCGGCGTGAACGTGTTAAATCAACAGTGCAGATGGTAATGTAAAACACTGCGGAGTGGCAATTATTTCAGTTAACGACAAAAGGCCGTAGAATGGCTATTATTTCTGATGGTAACCAGAAACGCCGTGGAGTGACTATTATTTCAGATGTTAACGAAAAACTCTTTGATATGGTAACGAAATATGCCGTGGAGTGACTAATATTTCAGATGTTAAAGAAAAAAGGCCGTAGAATGGTTATAATTTTTGATGGTAACGAAAAACGCCGTGGAGTGACAGTCACTATAGAGTTGCAAATTTCGTCATTGAAGCTTAGAAATATATATTAATATTTATATGGCCATTTGGCACAAAAGGTAGAAGTGTACTTTTTTGCATGATCATTACCTGTTTTATATGATTTGTACTCACAATAAAGACAATGAAAGTTGTGCCTAAATCAACACTAAAAACTGTCAAAAAAGAAATTATGAAAAGTTTTCTTAGCTTCTGTTTTGAAATCTAATATGAAAAGAGCTCTGTAAAATATTTTAGATGCTGTGGTTGAAAGTGTATGCCAATGCTAAAGCTCGTAAGCATTTAATGTGCCCCATTAGCTAGCTAATTTGCAGATTAACTAATCTGTTCCTCTAAAGTACGGACTGTGATACAGAGTTGTTACATATTTGAAATTTTTAATAAGTCATCGTTGATTGTTTTACTGGTTTTATGACCGATACAGCTCTGAATAAGCTCTTCCCTGAGAGTATATTCAGAGCTGTATCGGTTATTATTCGTATGCTGGTTTTAAGGTACAGAGCTGTATCGATTATTAACCGTATGCTGGTTTTAAGGCACAACTGTTAATGTGCCCTAGTGGACTGTTTACTAATTTTATGGCACAACAGTTGTTAATAAACCCTCGTGGATTGTTTACTGCTTTAATAGCACAGCTGTTAAGACGTCGTGAACTTTTTTCTAGTTTTATAGCATAACTGCTAGTAAGATCTCGTATATTGCTTACAGATTTTATGATGCAGCTGTTAAGCATTCTAGGTTAATAAATTTTCAAAATGTGCACTATGCCTTTATAAATGATGCTTTTATCCTAGAAAAATCAAACTTTAATTTTAGTTTTAAAAAAACTGGTTTATTGTGTTTTTTTATTTTACATCTTTTATTTCTTTTGTGCACATTTAAATTGTCATCAAGATTTCACTTTGCAGAGAACAATATGCTATTTAATTGCTATCCGAGAAGTATAAGTCACCCATTCAGTTTTATACGTAGGCTCATTAAATGTAAGGACAAATTATTTAACCTATCATAACTATTTTTAGTACGACCTTCTTCGATTTAAAGTTCCATTTCCTGTGCTTTTTGGATGACTTCATTTGTTCTTAAAATGGGAATTTCAACTATAAAACTGTCATTATACAATTCTAACTACATATATTACGAACACTTAACTTTTTCTGCCGCTAATGTAAAATTACATTTGTTGGAGTTTTTTTTTTTTTTGCTCATTGAATTCTTTCGTAAAATACTTTTAAATTATCAATTTTCCTTTGCTTCGTAAAATAATGTCTGTATTCGCATTTGAAACGAAAGGATGAGGAAATGATTTATATAAGAATTGCATAATATCTTCTAACATTTGCATGGAAATTAAGGGAGTAATTTTCCTGGAAAAAACTTTTAGAAAAACCGTTTCATTTATAACTCTTCTTAGAGGGGGGGGGGATAAATATCAGTGACTACCACTAATTGTTAATAGCAGGGGTGCCACAAGCGACTAAAAATAAAAAAGGGTAATTAATAGAAATAAAAATCTATTAAAAAAGACTAACGTTTGCAACTTTTTCTATCATAATTCTTTCAATTTACTATTGAAGGGGTTTACAATGAATTTATTCTTTTTAAATAAGAATAATTTACAATGTATATCAAAGTGGTAGCTGCAATTGAATAATTAAATGAAATAAATAAATAAAAAATTTATAACTGTTCATAAATAACTATAATCACGGATAATTTCTGAATAAAAGGTAGGAAAACAAATTATTCCGAATTCCAGTTTTTCTTTCATTTTTCGAAATGAGATTCAGAACTGATAAATACGTAGGGCTGTTTGTATAGTGTGCAAAATTAAAAAAAAGGACCACCGTATAACTTTTGTCCCAATGATCGTATTTTCACGTTCTAGGATTCAAACTTAATAGTTCAAGGAAGAGATCTTAAATATGGAAATAATCTAGTGCGGGCGCTAAGATACCACCTTGGATACCAAGGCATATTAAAAGTTTTAATGCATACAACAATGTTTCCCATGGTGCAAAATAAGAATCTATAAGTCTTGGAAATCACGCACATTTCCTAGAAAAAACAAGCCTGAAAGAAAGTTATTTTACTTTCAGTTAGATGTTTTTTTTCGGTGAACAAACAGCCCTGATACTTCTTAAAATAGTGGATGCCACGAGCAATTGATAAATAAACAAAAATAATTGAGTTTTAACCACTTTTTACATTTTTCGTCGCCGGCGGTATCCCTTCTAAGTGCAACGTGTTTTCAATGTTTAGCAACATTTTTCTTTACAGTAATCAGCACTGGATGCCTAGATTAAGCAATTTAACACTGTTCAACTTTTTTTTCTGAATAATGTATATGCTAAAATCCCATGACCACTCCCGCTTTAAAGGATGAGATTGAATGCAGTATTGATGAAATGGTTTACGCGAAGTTTTACGGGAAAAAATGTTAACGTCATAACAAAGCCTCCTTCTCCATTGCTGGTTCATGCAATAACCATATGTTGCATACAGAACGAGTCAATTAAAAATCCACAACTTTAATAAATAGAAAATCAAGTTTGAGCATTCTTAACTTGACACTTGATGAATCGCGACATTTGTAGCCAACGTTTGTACAGTGGAAATTTTGATATATTTAAAAATTTTTAATTAATATTTAAAGTGGTAGTGAAATAAAAACCTATCAATAATATTTTTCAATTTAGCTAACATTTAAAGTAGTGAAATAGTAAACCTATCTTTATTATCTTTTAATTAAGCTTACATTTGAAAATTCATCTCATAACTATTGAGTTTTTGCATCAGTGATACCAACTTGCTGCGCTTTGTGGATAATTTTTTTTAAATAATTAGTTTTAATAATAATTTTTTTAATAATGCATTGAAGCAAAATTTCTGCTTCAATGTATGATTCTTGCAAATTTATTTGAAAGTTACTCTGCCAACCACTACAGATTAATAATTCAAAAGTTCCAATAAAACGCCACTTTAATTTGTTTTCTTGTGATGAGCCTTTTAATCCTTTGCACTCGAAAATTAATATTTTTTTACAACTGTATAATTAGTAACCACATTATTTAGAGTACTTTAAAAATGATATGAAAATTCTGTATTATGTAAACTAAATTGCTTTCCTTTACTTCAATTGCATTCCAATTACCAGAAAGAACCACCCTAAAGATCAAAATTCAAGACGAATGGGAAAAAGGCCGCTAACGGCCCCAGGCGCCCAGATAAATGTTGATGATGATGATGATGTAAACTAAATTGCATTGTGCTTATAGTAGTTCAAAGAGCAATAACTAAATTCCATCAAGTTTTAGTTTATAACACTTTTCATCTTCAAAATTTTTTTGCACAATGTGGAGTAGTTGGCATACCTGTTCAGCTTATACATATTTTTTCTGAACCATGTTCAGGGCTGAAAGCCTATATATATCAAGACGGAAAAGTGTGAAAACTGGTGACAAATAAATTTCATTTCTTAGCTTATTTTCAGGAATAATTAAAATCCATAACTACCAATCGTTTTTAACGAATACAGTTTTTATATTGAATTGCGTCTTCGCCGAGAATTAGTTACTTACAGTGAATTGTTTATTCTTCACAATAGATTAACTTCTCCCGAATATTATATAATATTGAGATAGTTCTCCTACCAGTATTTTCTCTTTTCCGTCTCGCTTTCAGGCCTGACCATGTTGATTAAATTGGAATAAATATTGTTGTA